CTCCTCATGTGGAAACCCATCTCTTCTTGGATGGGATGCCTTTTTTCTGGAGTAGGCATTCCAGGGTATTTGGACCGACTACAAACCTACCCTGCGTATCAGCTTTCTCAAACTTCTTGCAGTACATCTAGCAATGATTCCAGGTCTTCCTTTCTTACACGACAAAGTGGTCATAATTCATTCTGACTACTCCACAGTGGTTTCATATCTTTCTCGTCAGGGAAGTTCTCATTCTTGAGATCTTGGTTTTCAGGCTTTGGATCTTCTTTTTTGTCTCATTCCAATGATATCCATCTTTTGACCTGTCATGTGCCAGGGGTTACGAATTTGATAGCAGATCACCTTTCTCGACCCCATCAGATTCTTCCACCAGCATGGATGTTCCATCAGGTGGTCTTTCAATAGATTTAATCTCAGTTCAGCTCTCCAATAATTTATACCTTTGCAACCCATTGGAATGCTAACTACATTTCTGGTCTTCTATTCCATATCCACAAGCTCTGGTGATAGATGGTTTCAGTCAAGACTGGACAGGATACTATTTGTATGCCTTTCCTCCTATTCATCTCTTACACTGACTCTTGTCTATGATTCATTTCACCCCATATTGGGTTCTCTTGTCAGCATTTTTTGGCCTGCTCAGACATGGTTTTCTCTTCAGTTGCCACAGGAATGTTTACCACTACCTCAACCTCAGTCCAACATTCAACACCTGGATGTTTAATGACTCCAGCTTCATGCATGGAAGTTATGCAGCCTTTTGCCCATCCATAGGGGTTTAAATTCTACAGTTTTCGTTTATTTAAGTATTCTCCATCAACCTATTATGGCAATCTGTTGATGGAAATAAACTGCATAATGTCAGTGGTGTCTTTGGTGAGCCTCTAACCCAATTCCTCCAACAGTCTCCATAGTTCAAGTGTTTTGACATGGATTTCTGGAAGGTTTGGCTTCAACCTTGCATTATATACAACATCCTTCACTGCTCCCTTTCACTCTTCTATCTGTACATGGTTTTTGACTCCTGTGCTGTCTTGTTTTCTGATCCTTTCATATTCTTCATCCTAAATGACCGTTTCAATTGCCTAATTGGGACTTTAGAGTTGTTTTTTAATTCATTATCACTTCAAACCTATGGACCCCCTGTTCTTTGTATCACCTTTCCCTCGAGGTATATTTCTAATGTTGTTAGCTTCCGGACACAGCTGTTCTGATTTATTTGCCATCCCTGTTCAGCAGACTCTATTTTTTGCTCTGTCCAGACAGATCGTTCCTACTGAACACTCTTGCTGCCAGAGAAGGAATTATATTCTTTTTTTCTATTTCTTTCCCAGGCATTTCTCATCTATCTATCATACTCGGATCTTTTGTGTCCAGTTGGAGCACTTAGATGTTCTGTGGCTTGTACAGTATTGTTCAGGGGCCCTATGCACCGGTTTTTTATTTAGTTGGATTCTGCAGTGTCCTTGAATTTATCACCCATTACTATAACCAGGGGACTTTGGGAATTGATTCCAATTGCCTATTCGGAGGTTATCTGTTGTAGTTTGGAATATACTCCACATCACTTCTCACCAGGTTCTGCATCTATCAATGTCATTGTCTGCTCATCTGAACTTTTCTCTGGGGGATATTTTGCAAGCTGGTATATGTGGACTTCACCCAACACCTTCCTATCTCATTACCTTCGTGATCTGGCAGTTTCCTCTTCTGCGGAATTTTTCTCTATATCCCCCCCATGCATATGTCAACTACTTCTGCTAGATTTTAAGAAGGAGGTGTGTAACTTTATTACCTGATCAACAGTTTTTCTTCTAGGGTCCCTCTATATTTCCTTTGGATCCCACTCGGTGGTGAGTGTTGCCTAGTCAGATGTACTTGTATTATTTTCAATTCCGCTCTAGCAACCTTTATATCATTTCATGGTAGCAACAGGCTCTGTCGAGATGTGGCATTTCATAAGACCATCAAGATGCAATTCTGAATGGTAGTATTATTTCCCAATACAAATTCAATGGACTGCTACTCATGGATCAGTTAGCTTTTAAAACTTAGGGAACATGGTTCACCTGTTGCACTGTCTCCAGAGACCTGTTCTTCAGAACTCCCCACTACATAAGTGTCCCCTACTGCTTCTATTGGAGCTAGGGAATACTTACCACACCTAGTTCCCAGTTGCTGGGGTGGTGAACAGAGGATTTTCTATTGGAGTGTTGAGTTTTCTCTACTCTCAGAGAAGAGGGCAAAGTTAGGGACCCTCCTAGCTGGGTCTGTGGAAGTTATTTCCAGATGTCGGTAGGAGCAGGACCAACCTATGTGGGAGCCTACTTGTAAAAGTGGTCCAGATTTGATGCTTAGCTATCCGATGGGGGTGTGCTTGGACCCTCTTATGAACACTGTCAGGTCTTATAGGTTATTCATACAGGGGGTCTGCTATCTCCTTGTAAATCCAAACACAATGCAGCTCCATCATGGGCCCTTGATGGAACAGTGTTCCATATCCCCTCCATAACTCCATGGGTAAGTAGAATTATCCTTGCCCACTTGGTTGGGGAGTGAAAATGACTGTTCGTAAATTACAC